CACATCCTCCCCCACCCCACATACACACATCCCTGCACCTATCCACTCCCCCACACCATCCCCACAGTATACAAAAGTAAGACTTCATTTTAAGCTATTATGAAATCCCCTCCACGTACACTACACAAATGCATGTAAATCAGGACAAAAATATTTTTTTTTAAATCAAATTAATGTATGTCGTAGTAAACGTTTGATTTTTAGAATATAATTTGATTTTATTCTGGTTTCAAGATGGAAACCCCCTTGCTGAAAGGAGTACTTCCAGGGCCAAGGGGAGGCACTTCTTGTGGCAAAAGTCAGGGGTTAGGGGGCGGGACTTTCAGTCTTAAGATAGTGACCAGGGGATGTGGCATACAGCTCACCAAAACTCGTTAAGCGGCCCTCAAGCCAAAATAATTGCCCACCCCTGCTGTAGAGCTAGATAGCTACACCTGGTGGTAGTAATCAGGAGTTACCACGTAGAAAGCCCTTGTAAAATACACATACAATTCAGGTGAATGAGGTGTTTTGACACAGACTAATGCATTTCACTTTACATTTAAAAGGCATCCAACCATCTTTAAGTAAGGTGATTTCTGTCACTTTAAAAGCACTCTATATTCTAGCACATGTATTAAATTGATTACTTTAGTCCATTCTAAATGGAGAAAATCCACAGTGTGGGGTGTACACACCAACCAACAGGAGACCATGCTCCATGGAACACCCCTGGTTCTATAGGGTCCTGAATGAGTTCCAGAGTGAGTACAGGCTACAAAAGAAAAGCCCAGTGACCCTGTTCAACCACAGGAAGATACAGAAGGCACTCAGAGACAGAGACAGGCTATCAACCATGGAGCTGCTCCCTGAAGATGGCTGCCAGGCCGTCTGGGATCGGATCTTCCACAAGGACCTCCAAAAGGACCATAGAGACTTGAACTGGCTAACGGTTCCAGTGAAGGCATGGGGACACTTTGAGGGGCAAGGGAGTAGCCCCAGCTGCCCCAGGGAAAGCTGCCGAGGTGCAATGGAGACCATCAAACACCTCTATGGCACTGCCCCATGCCAAGAGGGTGTGGAACAGGGTAAACCAACTTTGCGAAGAGGTGACAGGAGTCAGGTTGATGACAAGGGAGGTGGTGCTGTACAGACACCTGACTAAACATCGGGGTCTCTGACAACCCGCTTCAACTAATTTGCGTCCTGTGTGAAGAGTGCCCTGGGGAAATGCAGGAACCTCCTGAGGTACAGATGTATGGAACTCAAAGAAACAGACTGTGTTAACATGTTTCTTGGTGAGCTCCAGTCCTACTACTGGAAATTGGTGGGAGAGGATGGAGAAAATGCAACCAACTCAACCTGGAAAAGAGACACTTGGCACACACTGTTCAAAGGCCCCCCAGGAGGGGGAGTGGACAGGGAGAACAAAAAGGACAGCAATGCAACCAGATCTGGAGACAGCAAGGAAGATAGTAGCAGGATCATCTTCAACAGAAACAACAGCGACAATGACAAGGACAGGGAATGAACTGAGAATGTAAGCCCCAAATTGGGGCTAGGACTAAGGGACTGTGATTGGGTTAGGGAAAGGGTGGCAGGTGGGTACGTGGGAGCACAGGAGAGCGGGTACATTAATTGTAGTGACTGCATGAGTTCTTAATATGGTTTAAGGTGCATGATGGAAAGTTTTTGCTAGATGCTGTATGTATATACTATATTACTTATAGATACATTTTTCCAAAAAAACCCCCAGCAACCCACTTACCTGGCAGGGGAAATACTGTGACCACTAAGGTGATTTTCCTAGTTACTGGGGATACCCACTTTTCTGGCACAGGGTAGTACCTACGGAGGTAATGTATAGTTAACGTCCCACTTTCATTTCCAGTGAGAAGATCTTGGCTTCACACCCACTTTATGGTAATCGGCAACTCCTCCGTAGCTTGCTCCTGCGGCCATACGACTGAGGGCAAGAGAAACTTGGGGGCATCCAAACCCCAAGCCTCTGGGCTTGGCCTGCACATAGGATGATCGGCAAATGATTTGGAAGCATCTGAAGCCCCAGGTGGTGATGAAGGATGTTTGCCGGTAGTAGGGCCATGTATGATTCTGGAACAACTCATGGATTTGGAACTGAATTTGGCTTGGAACACAAAATTTTTTCCTTAAAAATAAAAATCTGGCCTTTTGGCTCAGATCAAATGTAGACCAGATTTGCTTTTTGGCCTTGTGTGGGCCAAGATCAAGTGTGGGGGTAACTGAATCCTGAGGCCTCCAGGCTTGACCTGCATGCAGGATGCCAGCCAGTGGATTTGGGAGTTATCTGAAGTCCCAGAGTGAGAGCCTGGGAAAGGCATGGCTGGTGACCTGTGAGACAGGTGGGGCGGGTGGAGCCTCACACCAGGAGCGACCTTGTGCTGCTGGGCACAGCAGGGCCGCATGGGGACTCCTTGCTGCTGCGAGCTGCCCCCCCCCACTGCCCTGGAGATACTTCCCTGTACCTGCTGCTGCTTTAAGGAGTGCAGCCCTGCTCCACTGCCTTCACTGCAGCCCTGCGCACAGGGGGCGCATTGCCAGGGCAGCGGGGAGCAAGAAGTGTCAAGGAGGAGGTTTTCTGTGTGGCTCCTCTGCTACCTGCAGCACCAGGTCGTGGGGGGAGAAGCAAGGCGGCAGGGAACAGCAGCCCCCTCGCTCACCGCTGTTCTCTGCCACCCTGCTTCCCCCTCTGTGACCCAGCAGTGCAGGGAGTGGAGGAGGGCACAGAAAACCTCCTCTTCCGTCGCTTCTTGTCCCCCACTGCCCCGGCGACATGCCCCTGCGTGCAGGTCTGCAGTAAGGGCAGTGGCAGGTGCAGGGGGTGCATTGCCAGGGCAGCAGGAGGTGAGCAGCAGCAAGGAATCTGCACGTGGCCTCGCTGTCCCCAGCTGCACTGGGTCTGGGCTCCAGAAGCCCCGGGGCAGAGAAGCAGGACGGAAGCTCAAGCCCACAGCCTGCACTTGCCCCAGGGACGGTTCTGGGACAGCCCTCAGTAGTGCAAGTGGCAGCAAGGAGCCAGCCCTCCCCATCCCCTGGACAAGCCACCTGCAGCCCCATCCTACCCAGCTCCCTCCTTACAGGGGCTTCAATCTCCCTTTCCCCCACTTACGTGCTGGAGCTGCTCTGCAGGCTGCCTGGGGCTCGTGCATGTCTCTGCATGTAACACCCTGTCTTTTCACCTTCCTCCCAACAGCTCTTTACTCAGGCTGGGGTGTCAGTACAGATGCCCAGCTGCCTGCTTAAACAAATGGTTATTGCAACCCATTCTAACTGGTAAAGTGTTTCTACCGCACATGTGCTACTCAGGCAGTAAGATCGCCCCAAGGTGCTTCCTGCACATACACAACCTTTTCTTGTGTATGTGTAGTGCATGAGCATAATCATGATCATGACATTGATCATCTTGTGCTGAAACTGAATTCCCAGTACCCCCTATTGACTAGCCACCCACTGGCCTGGGATGGAGGATGCTTGCCAGCTGGAGTGCTGTACATGGTATTTAGAATGATTGAGTTTTGCCAGCTCTATCCATGTGGCTTTTTGGGAACGATTAAGCGCTGCTCAACCCCTAGGATTTGGAAGTGATTTGGGGATTTGACCTCGAATATGAAATACATTAATAACCCACTCCCCAAAACCCAATAGTCAGTTAAGCCTCCCTGTGACTTGGCTTGTGCTGCATCAGTTGACTGCGTCAAAAATTATTGTACATTTTGCGCCCTTTTACTATTATTCATGTACATTATACAAGGGTACAGATACAATATATGCCCTACCACCCGCTGCCCTCTGCTCAGTGTACTTGACACCACGTAGGACGGGAGAGGTCACCCGAGGCCCTCTAGGTTGTATACTGCCACAGGCAGCACCTGGAGTCCGCTGTGGAGGCCGGGGTGCGCACGCAAACCCTTCAAACAAAAACCGCCACACGCCGGCATCCACTAGACGTTTAAATAAAACGTCGGCTTCTGATTGGCCCCACGCTCCGTTGGGGGCGAGGCTCTGTGTGCTGGGAGAAGCTCCCACAGCAGCTGTTGTTTGGCAGGTTGTTCAGCTCTCCCGCCCCGTCCTGTTCAGTGCATGGTGATTGGTGGACAGAGGCGGGGCGGGGCGGAGCCGCGCTCCTGGATTGGTGGCGGCGCGGGGTTTGAATCGCGGCCGTCGAAGCTCGCGCAGCGGTTTGGTGGTGCGCGTGGAGCTATGGCGGCCGGGGGTGCCGCTACTTGGGAGCTGAGCCCGGGGCGGCGGCGGCGGCGCTGGGGCGAGGCGGAGGATGAGGAGGAGCCCCCCGCCGTGCTGACGCTCTGCCACTTCTCGCGCCCACCCTTCCTCAGCTTCGGGCGCGTGCGCCTCGGCGAGTCCCGCGTACGGCTACTGAGCATTGACAACCCCGACGCGGCGGCGGCCGACTTGGCCGTGGACCGCTTCCCGCCACCGGCCCGCGGCTTCGGCCTGGAGCGCCGCCGCTTCCTCGTGCAGGTGGGCCCGGGGGAGGTGGCTGAGGGAGGGCAGGGGGGACCTCGTGTAGGGACCGTGGCTTGGATGCGGGGAATGGCGGGAGCCGTTCGTACCCGTGCCCCCCCTGCGCCCCACATGCAGCCTGGGGGACTCAAGGGGCGACAGCCTGGTCTCCGCCAAAGGAGGGGCCGCTGGCACCCGGCCTTGGCCCGGGCCTGCTCAGCGAGGGCTTGGTGCTGGGGGTTGCATGAGCTCGGGGGGGGTGGCCTCCGCCCCGTACTCACCCCAACAGCATCCCTGAAGTCTGGGACAGTGTTTCCCAAGCAGTGCGCCATCAGAAATGAACAGGTGTGCCACGGAGTTTTGCCAGGCAGTGGGCTACAGTTGAGGATGGGGGATACTTTAACAGGTGTGCCACGGCAAATTTGTATTAATGTAAGTGTGCCTTGGGCTGGAAAGGGTTGGTCTAGGAAGAGCTTGCCTCTGAGAGCCCGGGCTGTGCTGGGGGCTCTGTTTTTCAAAGCTCCCTGTGCTTCCAGGGCTCCCCTGGAAATTGATGGGATTGCTCTAGAAGCCTTAAAATTAAGGGCTTCAAGGCTGTCCCGCCAGTGAAGCCAGTGATTCTCTTTGAGGGTGTTGCTGAGAGTGATTTGGCCTCTTGTGGACTAAGATCGAGTGGGGGCATCCAAATCCCAAGACTTCTGGGCTTGGCCATGCTGCCTGGGACGGAGGATGCCCGTGGGTTGTAGTGCCTTATGTGGTGTTTAGAATAATTGCCTTCTGCCTGCTCAAGCAATATAGTTTTTGGAACATTTGGATTCTGATCAGTCGATATGATTTGGAAGTGATTTGACCTGGAACACAAAATATATTGCAACTAATAATAAAAAAGCCTTTTAAGTGTACCCTGCATGATTTGGGGGTGTTGGTTGTAGCCCTATTGGTTTAATGACACAGGCAGGCAAGGTTCTTTGAGTAAAATGTGATTTATTTATTTTTTTTTATTAGACAATGTAAATAGTTGAAAAAATTGTTTTTTGCAAGCTTTCAGGCACAAATACCCTTCACTGTTTGTGTGGCTTGCAGCTTAAGCCCAGAGATTTCTAATAGGGAACCCATAGTGCCAGCAAACACTGTGACCTTTTTTGGTCTGTTGGAGTTCTTTATGCCTAATGAGTTGCTCTGTTAGATTCTGTAATCTGGTAATGAGTGAAAGTTCACAAGTAGCATTTTCTGAGGGGTGCTTTGAGTTTTTGGAGGTGTGACTTGCATATAAAGTGGTGAAGAAGTTCTGGGTGGTTGGTGACAGTAACACCAGGATTCCTTGGAAAGTTCTCAGAGTTCAGTTTGCTAGGAGGATCATTAATTTCCCTGGTGTGGACCAGGTACTGACAGTTGGCGCGAGGAGAATGCTGATCCATTGCCAACGTGAAGCATTGAATTCAGATGTTATTAACAGCCATATTCAATTTAACAGCTTAAGTGTTCCCATGCATTTAAAGTTTAGGTGTTTAGTTGATTTGCAGATGACTGATATTTGTTATGGTGTAAGCAGTAAGCAAACCTCCCCCCCCACCCCCACCCCGACTAGTTTAGATTATAGATTTTAGGTGAATTATGCACTTATGCCTAGACATGAAGTACACATGTCAGATGGGAGGGAGTGCAGGGGCTCAGAAGACAGGATTACTGTTCTCAGTGATCTTGAGAAATGATCTGAAATCAAAATACATGCAATAAAAAGGCATCTTCCTTCTAGCCAAAGAAATGTATGCATAGATACAGAATGGAGATGATTTTGATAAATACATTGAAGTAACTGGCTAGGTAGCGTTACTTTAGTAGAGCGACTGGGGATTATAGTGGAGCATAAGAAGAAAATGATTCAAGAGTTATGCTTTTATTAACCCCCCCAAATAAAAAAAACAATTACATGTCAATCTGGCCTTTTATTAATAGAGGGTGCAGACGTGTAAGAAGTGAAACATTTCAAAGGCCCAGCTGTACAAATACATGCTCTTGGAAATGTTCCAAAAGCAGCTGAAGGCATCTGACAGTATCTCTTTAAATGAGATGACTCCTGGATCATTTCACTTTTTGGTATGTTTGTTGGGGTGGGAGAGCAAGTGGACAGCCTGTCAACTATCCAGCTACAGGGTCCCTTGTACTCCCTGCTGGGACCATCACTGCTGCCTGAGCCAACACTTCTCTCCTCCTAGACTCCTGCCAACTCGTGAGGGAGCCACTGCTTCTGCCAGGAGAGGTTTGAGGAATTTAGAGTTAGGGTGGATTTGATTTAAATCAAATTGGTTTAAATCACTGGTCAGGAAGCCTTGGTTTAATCATTGTTTTCTACAAAAAATGCATTCTTATTGGTTGATATCCTTTATTTGTTAACTTCTTTAAACTTTGCACTTTTAGAGAGAGCTAAGGGGTTGAACTGTACACAAAACTTGCAGAGACAAGAGGGCTGATGGGTAGGTAATAAGGGTTGTTTTCTGTCATCTGTCAGGATGTTAGCTCTGGAGACAAATCCATAGTGTGAGAACTGAAACTAAGCATCACAGAGATGCTTAATGGGATCTTCTAGATCTAGACTGAGCACTGAGTCCCACTGAGTAGAGTGGTTTTCTTTAGTCATTACTAATCTATAGAGGAGCCTCTGGGAACTCCATAAGATTGGGCCCCTAATATAGTACATGGCCTGCTGTGACCCGTTTATAAAACTTTTCTAAAAAGGTTACATGAATATATTGTCTCAAACAGTATATAATTAGAAGTTATAATCCCTGTTCCATGCTATCTTTGAGATTTAACATATTTTAAATTAAAAATATCTTTATATAGGTGTTTTTTTTTTAAGCATCTTAAAAAATAAAGTAATACAATCAAATGAAAAAATCCAATTTAAATTAAAAAAATCAATTTATTTATTGATTTTAAGATTGTTGATTGTTATCCACCTCTTTAGAGTTGGAGAATTTATTTGGTTATGTGATTTTGGTTGGTGCTGGAGGATGCTGTAGTGTTTTGAAATATTCATAAATAGGTGCTGTACGTGTGTCCCTTGGATGAACT